AATCTCAGATAGGAACGGAGGAATAAATTTTCAAAAGCGCGGAGAAACCTCGAACGGTGAGCCCGGAGGGGCTCCCCCGATTGAAAAAATCATTCCCCCCCCCCTAATTGAGAGAAAGGAATGAAACCGACGCCGATCGATCGAGAATTGAATTCTCAATGAATGGCGGCGGTTTCATTCCTTAATCTCACGTAGGAGCGGAGGAATGAATTTTCAAAAGCGCAGAGTAACCCCGAACGGCTCTTCGGAGGGCCTCCCCCAATTGGAAAAGTCATTTCTCCCCCCCTAATTACGATGAAAGAATGAAAGCAATATCGATCGATGGAGAATTATGTTCTAAATAAATGACAGCGGTTTCATTGCTTAATTTCTATTAGGAGAGGAGGAATGAATTTTAAAATCGTGCAGTAACTCCGGACAAGTTCTTCTCATTCAAAAATTAATTTCTCCCCTCCCTAATTGAGATGTAGAAATGAAACCAAAGCCTACCGATCGACCATTGTATTTTTAATAAATGACATCGGTTTCATTTCTTAATCTCAGTTAGGAGCGGAGGAATGAATTTTCAAAAGCGCGGAGAAACCCCGAACGGCTCTCCGACGTCGAGTGAGCTCGGAGGGACTCCCCCGATTGGAAAATTCATTTCTCCCACCCTAATTGAGATGAAGGATTGAAGCCGATGCCGATCGATCGAGAATTAAATTCTCAATAAATGACAACGGTTTCATTCCTTAATCTCAAATAGGAGCGGACGAATGAATTTTCGAAGGCGCGGAGAAATCCCGAATGGCTCTCCGGCATCGAGTGAGTCCGGAGGGGCTCCCCTGATTGGAAGATTCATTTCTCCCCCCTCCCCCCACCCTAATTGCGAAGAGGGAATGAAAGCAACATCTATCGATCGAGAATAATATTGTCAATAAATGACAGTGGTTTCATTTCTTAATCTCTATTAGGAGAGGAGTAATGAATTTTCAAAGCGCGCAGGAACTCCGAACAAGTTCTTGTCATTTAAAAATTAATTTCTCCCCTCCATCATTGAGATGAAGGAATGAAACCAAAGCCTACCGAATGAGAATTATCTTTTTAATAAATGACATCGGTTTCATTTCTTAATCTCAGTTAGGAGCGCAGGCAACAATTTTGAAAAATGCGGAGAAACTTCGAACGGCTCTCAGACGTCGAGTGAGCCCGGAAAGGTTCTCCCGCGGTGGAAAATTCATTTCTCCCCGCCCCCCTCTAATTGAGATGAAGGAATGAAACTAAAGCCTACTGATCGAGAATTGTATTTTTGATAAATGACATCGGTTTCATTCCTTAATCTCAGTTAGGAGCGGAGGAATGAATTTTCAAAAGCGCGGAGAAACCCCGAACGGCTCTCCGACGTTGAGTGAGCTTGGAGGGACTCCCCCGATTGGAAAATTCATTTCTCCCCCCCCCCCTAATTGCGAAGACGCAATGAAGGCAAAATCTATCGATCGAGAATAATATTCTGAATAAATGACAGTGGTTTCATTCCTTAATCTCTATTAGGAGAGAAGGAATGAATTTTCAAACCGCGCAGTAACCTCGGAAAAGTTCTTGTCATTCAAAAATTAATTTCTCCCCTCCCTAATTGAGATGAAGGAATGAAACTAAAGCCTACGATCGAGAATTGTATTTTCAATAAATAACATCGGTCTCATTTGTTAATCTCTATTAGGAGAGGAGGAATGAATTTTCAAAGCCCGCAGTAACTCCGAACAAGTTATTCTCATTCAAAAATTAATTTCTCCCCTCCGTAATTACGATGAAGCAATGAAACCAAAGCCTACTGATTGAGAATTACATTTTTAATAAATGACATCGGTTTCATTTCTTAATCTCAGTTAGGAGCGGAGGAATGAATTTTCAAAAGCGCGGAGAAACCCCGAACGGCTCTCCGACGTCGAGTGAGCCCGGAGGGGCTCCTCTGATTGGAAGATTGATTTCTCCCCATCCCCCTAATTGCGAAAAGGGAATGAAGGCAACATCCATCGATCGAGAATAATATTCTGAATAAATGACAGTGGTTTCATTCCTTAATCTCTATTAGGAGAGGAGGAATGAATTTTCAAAGCGCGCAGTAACCTCGGACAAGTTCTTGCCATTCAAAAATTAATTTCTCCCCTCCCTAATTGAGATGAAGGAATGAAACTAGAGCCGACCGATCGAGAATTATATTTTCAATAAATAACCTCGGTTTCATTTCTTAATCTCAGTTAGGAGCGGAGGAATGAATTTTCAAAAGCACGGAGACACCCCGAACGACTTTCCGACGTCGAATGAGCCGGCAGGGGCACTCCCGTTTGGAAAATTCATTTCTCCCGCCCTACTTAAGATGAAGCAATGAAACCGATNGAGCCGACCGATCGAGAATTATATTTTCAATAAATAACCTCGGTTTCATTTCTTAATCTCAGTTAGGAGCGGAGGAATGAATTTTCAAAAGCACGGAGACACCCCGAACGACTTTCCGACGTCGAATGAGCCGGCAGGGGCACTCCCGTTTGGAAAATTCATTTCTCCCGCCCTACTTAAGATGAAGCAATGAAACCGATGCAGATCGATCGATAATTAAATTCTCAATAAATGACGGCGGTTTCATTCATTAATCTCAAGTAGGGGCGGAGGAATGAATTTTCAAAAGCGCGGAAAAATCCCGAAGGGATCTCCGACTAATCCAATGAACGTCGGTCTAACATACGAATGTTTGCGATACAGGCTCCATTTTTCATGGAATTTGTGATTTGGAGGTGTGAAACTAATGGCGGATGTTTAAGGTTCCCCAAGTTTGTGCGGGGGTTGAAAAAGCCAAAAAACTACCCGTGAAAACCGTTTTTTCGAAATAACTCGTGAATAACGCACTGTACGACCAAAAACATAACACACAAAATTGTAGAACTCAAAATTCTACACAAAAAATGTCTAAGGTACTTTACCCCTATTCCCAACCGTTCATCCCCCAGAGCCGCGTGAAGTTCAGATGGGAAAAAAAAAATGTTTTCCATTTAAAAAATTGAAGTTGATGAATTTTTTTTTTTAATTCGGAATATCAGTGTTTTCGTTCAATAGGTTTTTTATATATTCAGAGCGAATTTAATATATGTTGCTATTTATATCTTGACATTGAATCGATGAATTTCTTTTTTTAAAATATTTTTTATTAGAAAATTTACCACAAATTTTGTCTTGATCGTTCCCGCGAATCTCCTATGAATTCAAAGTTAAACGCAATTT